TCAGCCAGGGAAGCACCGCGTGTGCCAACCTGCGGGAAGCACGGGGACACGCAGCAGAGCCCCGACACCACCACCTCCCACCCTCCCTGCAGCAACCATGGGAACGGCATTTCCTCACACGCATTTTCAACGTCATTGTGAGTTGCCAAACCCAAATTAAAAAAAAAAATTGTAATAAAAAGGAAATCAAAACAGCCCAGTGCCCCCAGCCCACGTCCCGGGGCACGCAGGTAACACCACACACACCACACGCACTGCTCGGCATGGTGCGATTGCAGGAACAGAGACAGGAGATGCAGCTGTGCTGGCACATCTGCAGCCTTGAGAAAACGGCCTCTTGACCCAAACCAGGCAAATATGCTCTATGCTGGAAGTATGAGCAGGACTCAGCAGGTACCCGGCTCCTGGTGCTGGAGGAACACTGGGACATCCCACCCAGCCACCGGGCAAGGTCCCCTCCAGACCAGCCTCCACATTCAGGTGCATTCACCTTCTCCTCAGGTTGCTCTCTCTGGGTACCCTTTTGGTCTACACCAGCTTCGGGAGCGCAGTCAGTCCCAGCCCCTGCCTCGCAAAGCTGCTGTTTATTCCCCAATCCATCCCCCACCAAGCCAAAAGGGCTGAGTTTGACCCAGCATTGGACCCCGGGTCGGTGCTGATGCCATGGCTGGGCAGCGGCGCACACAGGGCCAGCAGCTTCTCCCAACACCATCACCACACTGGCATATGGGGACACGCGCTCAGAGGTGCTCTGTGGCACACTCCCAATTAAAAAGATCTCTGAGCCCTGTTAATGAGGCTTCTGCCAGTGTGATTTAAAAAAATATAATCACAAACGCGCGCTCCCCTGCACGCCCAAGACCTTCTGCTCACCAGCCTCCCTCACCGGCGCTGCCGAGAGGCTGGATCTGGCTGCAGCCCAGCTCCGTGGCTCCCGGCACCAGCTCGGCGGCTAGCACAGGACTCAGGGAGGCCACCCCACTTGGCAGCTTGGCTCTCACCATCAGTCCCCTGAAACGCCAGCACTGAGGGGTCGCAGCTGCATGCAGGGGGACCCGCAGGTAGCCCCAGGGGACCTCAGGGAGATGGGTGAACGATGCTGAGGACGTCGTGACAAACCTCCCGCACAGATCACGACCGCAGGCAGTGCATGTAGGTGAACCACTGCAACACCCCGGCATGGTGAAAGGCTGTCGCATCCCGAGTTTTCCTTCTTACAGTCAGGCTGAGCCGCCCAGGGTAAGCGTGCGGTCCTCCGGAGCCGACACTGGCTGCACACAGATCCCTCCACAACTCACGGTGGAGACCCACCACCAGAAACAAAGACCATCTCCCAAGCAGGAACACATTCCTGTTGCTAATTTCGACCAGAGAGGAAGAGGAGGAGCTTTCAAGTTGTGCTGAAAATAAAGCAGAGTATTATCATTTGTGTTACTCCTCGTTTGAATAAAATACCAGACAAGCTATTAAATATGTGGCTGCACAAGCCACACGGGTCATGCAAAGGAGGAAGAAATCCTCTTTGCCTTCAGCCCCGCTGGCACAGGGGCAGGACTGTCTGGCTGAGCTGTGACCACAAACTTCTGCCGTAGCACAAAGTATTCCCCACACCAAACGTTTCCTACCACCCTCTGAAACCAACAGAGGGGAGGGGGAGGAAATGCACCCCGACACAGGGGAGCCACATTACACCTTTGCTGGGTGAACTAAGCAGGAAAAAATCAGAAGCAACTCATCTTAGCAACCAAACCCCAAAACCACGTGCTTTCCCCCCAGATTGGCCCTGCGGTTTGCTCACCCAGCCCAGGCGGAGAGCACACGGCGGCTGCAGGGGGGCCTGGCTGTGCCCCACCGCTGCTGGGCTGGGCGCTGGCAGAGACCCCCCCAGCCCTCCGAGCGCAGGGCGAGCTCCTCGGGCAAAGCCAGCTCCTGCTGCCGGGAAAGGATGGGGGGTTTCTGCCCGCACGGATGCACTGCTGCAGCCCCAGGAAATCCTCCTCGCCCCGAGGCAGCAACTTCCCCAGCACCTGGGAGATGCGGCGAGCGCGGCGTGACTCACCTCGCACCCCATCGCTGCTCGTAGGCGGCCAGCGCCGAGCGCTCGACGGCGGCAGCCCAACACCATTTCTGATGGCACAACCAGAGCAGAACCGAATGCAAGCAGCCGCAGCAACCCAACAGCGGGTTTGCTTTTATTTTGCACCCTCCAGCAATGCTCCCTTTCCCCCAAACCCAAGTCTGCAAGTGTACAGCTGCCGCCTAGCCAGGAGGCTGCCTCTAATCATTAATGTTTGCGCCTGCAAAAATAAGGGCCATTCCCAAAAAGGCCAGACCTAAACCTCTCTATGTCAATCCCTCCTCCATGCACAGGCGATGGGAAGGGTTGGGATGTTACTGCTTTCTTCAGGGACCAGAAGGGCAAAAGAATTAAAATATTCCAAGAAGGGCTTCAACTTTCTCCTCCCCAGGGCTGGCAGGCACCTGCAGCACTGGGGCTCAAGGACCCGTCACCCCAGACAGCACCGGGCTATGAAGCAGCCCGAGCCACGGCTCTTCCTCCAGCACACCCAAGGGCTTTCACCCTGGAGAGGCCAACAAGGACGTTTTGAGAGCACAGCACCATGTTATCTATCTACCCACGGAGCTGGGCAGCTCTACCCAGCCAAGGCAGGGTCTCCCCCAGGCTCGCTCTGGTCGGGGTACCTTTCACAGGGGACCGAGCACACCCAACCGGGGGGGCGTGCAGAGCAGGCAGGGAAAGGCAGCAATGGCAGCAAAGTTGGCGGGGTCAGAAGGCACATGAAGGTATTGGCCTGAGCCTGAAACACGTCCTTACTCCCAGGCTAGGAGTCGTTTGTATCAAAAGAGAATTAACTGCTCAGGTTGAACACCAGGGAAAAGTTTCACTTTCGCTTCCCGGAAAGCTGCGGAATCAGTGCCAGCTCTGGGTACAGCACTGCCGTGCCACAGCCATGGGCACAGCCATTTCTAAAGGCTCTGTTTCAGCAAGAGGCTGCTGAGACGTGGAACCAAATCCCTGTGCAAGCACATCCCGGAGCGCATGGTCTGTGGACAGAGCCCATCACGCCAACGGCACCACCAGGCACCAC